ATGCAGTTTTTTGCGTTTTTTTCTTAAAAGATTGAACTTTCCAACGAACTAAAAGTAAAATTTCTTGGAATTTTATATGATATAGATAATCCAGACCAAAGTCGGAAAATTTTACGTACTTTTCGGTTTTTTATTTTTAAAAAAATAACTAGAAGACGCACTTCTTCCATTTTCGAAAACAATAAAGTATGAGATAAAACAAACTAAAAAAAATTAACATCACTAAAAAATATTATGTCATTTAAGATTTATGAACCGTTAAAAAGTGCAACTTTCGGAGGCTCCCACATCAACGTTTATCAAACAATCGATTTTAAAAAAATTTCTATTTTTTTGTTCTTGTTACCTTTTAAGTTTTATATAATCAAATTATGTATAAAAAAATTGTTTAAAAATATTGTTTTTTGATTTGTTTAATGTTAATTTGACATATTCTGAAGTCATCACAAAAGTATGCTACATTTTTATTTGCATAGTCCTGATTAAATAGATAGATATAGGTTTGGAAAATACCATAATCGATTAGTGTACGTAAAAAGTAGATTTTAGATGTTAGTCACACTAAAATCAAATATTTGAGCGCAAAATGTTCACCAAAACCTGAAGAAATAAAGTATGGCATACTCTTGGGCTCTCTTAGCTAAGCTCTTCAAAATAGCTCGACTTCGAGTTAAGCCTTCAATTAAAACTTAAATTACCGAAAACTAAGGCAAAACCGCATCGAGTCGGTGGGCTACGCTTTTAGTAAATTGATCAACGAATTTTTTTTTGAAGGAATGAACTAATTTGGGTATGGCACTCGAAGGCACTCGAAAAGCAAAGTACTCATTTGCTGAAAAAAAGCGTAAAAATTAACAATTACATTTATTTTAGCAAACAAGTAAGACATACGAGCTATATTAAATTTTTTCTTTGTTGAAAATAATCCCTTCTGCAAGTTTCGGAAAGAAGTCGAACAGCAATATCAGCATCTTTGCCTTCTAAATTTTTTTTCATTTCCATCAATATTTTATGAATTTTTCACTTTGAAAATATGGTAAAAGAAAACTACTTGCCCGAATTCTTTGAAACTTTGGCATAAATTAGTTTAATGTATTATAAAAAGGATCCCAAACTCAATTTGGTCATTTTCTTAAAAAAGAAAAACGTATTTTTGGCCAAAAATCTGATCGGCTGGCCCAGTGTGCGTTGTTAGGATCTCCTCTGCGTCCTAGCCTCTCGCAGTTTATTCCTTCGCAAGTACTCTAGAGCAGACGGCATTTTGTTTCGCTTTTAAAATTCTCGCCAACTTGTAGCCTGGCGGGTAATTCAAATTTTTAATTTTTTCCTTTATTATGTACAATATGCGCTTTAAACATATATTCTTTTTGTAATTTTTCAAGAAAAACATAAAAAAAGTTTAAAACTTGTTGGAAAATAGTCCAAATAAGTCAAATAAAATTCCATAATTATTGAATATTCGATATTTAGTGTATGCATCCAGCCCTGCTCGTTTTTTGGCAAATTTTTCGAGAAAAGGAAATCTTTCAAATTCCTGTGACACCAACGGTTTTGGTCGGTTGGTTTTAGAGCCCTGCGTGAATCATTCAATTTTTGTTTTATCATAGTATGCCGTGAAATCTCTGATTTCTTTAATTCAATTCTATGTGAAATAAATTGAATATTTTTCTATTTTATTTCGAATTGAATAAATGAATGAATCACTTTTATTAATTTTTTGAATTTGCCAGATTTTTTTTGTGCCCTCTTTTGAGAACAAAAAGTGGACAATTTTTAACAAATCAATGTCAACTGCTTAGTAAATAAAATGTAGGCAGATTTAATCACAAAATTATGGCCCTATTTTCTTCAAAAGAAATTGTCGCTTGAATTATTTCGGAATTCATGCCATTCATTCATTCAATTCTGTTAAACTCAAAATTCAAATTCATTCAATTCTATTAAGGGGGGAGATACATATGGAACTGCAATTTTGTCATGTTTTTCGTGATTTTTTTTTACCAATAAGGAATAGTGCTGGGATTTCATAACTTGGCATGTTGATTACATTGTTCTTATATAATTTTAACCAATTTTTTTTTCTTGAATCTTTCAAAATGGCGGCCGTGGGAATTTTTTTGTCAGGCTATATTTAAAAAAAGTAGGCCAGCTGCGGATCGTCCACAGGTCGCTGTGTAGATCCGATTTTTATGAAACCAAGTTTATTTTGTTAAGAAATAACGTAGAAACTGTCTGAACCTAACTTACATAAAATATCTGAAAAACTCTGGTTGTGGCACTCTTTCAAAGTCAAAAATATTTTTTTTCATATTTTTTTTTGTTGTTTTTTTTAAAACAAAAAATACTTAACCGTGCAAATTTTTACATAAAGTAGGTTCAGACAGTCGCCAATTTCATTACAAACATTTCTGTAAAAGCAGCATGATGATCGAAGCATTACTTTTCGAGATACACGATCCGCAGCTGAGGAAAACATGGTTTCGAGAAAAACGCATTCAAAGTAATGAAATATATCTACTGCACAAGGAAGGTGGGTGCCGTCATCCTGGTATAAGTTCCAAAATAGTTCGAATTTCTTCGTGAAACTTTCATGACACATTCTTAAAGAGTTGTTCTACCAATGTAAATAATAAAAAAAAAATGGAATTTTTTTTTGTCTATATGTATCTCTCCCCTTAAACTCAAAATTCTAATCAATTCATTCTTATAAAACAAAAAATTAAAAATAATTCATTGAATCCATTCATGCAGGGCTCTAGTTGGTTTCTAAAGCAACCGTTCGACGGTTTCTGTGACACCCCTGATTACATTACAAAATCATCGATGAGCCGTTACCGGGAAAACTCCGCTAAGATAGTTTGACATGCTCGGTATGCTGGATTGGTCTAGCGCAGCCTCAAACCTCTCCGTCTTCTATCTTACATTTTCTAAAAAACTAAAAAAAAAGAATACTTTTAGGCTGACCTTAGAAAAAAAATCAATCTCAAAAGTCTCGAAAAATTGTCGAAAAATTTAATTTGGAGCAAATCTGGTCACTTTAAAATGGCAGATTAGAATTATGTTTGAAAATGAGAAAAAGGTTAGGAAATTAAATTGTCTCTCTAGAAAAAAAAAAAAAACAAATTTAATTTTTAGACTGCTTAAAGACGGGAAAAAGAAGCAAGAAGGAGGGAAAACCAAATAAATTCAAAATATATTGGAATCTGTATTTATCTTGTTGGGCAAATAGGAAACACAGGCAGCAAACATCGGCCATAATTACATACACAGTACACAAAAGACACGAAAAACAAACAGAGATATCTTTTTGGGCCGAGATAAGCTGGAAGGTCCAAACTCTTTAGAGTAACTGGGTCCATGCAACAGGTGCCACATGCGGCGCATGGGCTGAATTTCTAATGAGCCCAACTTCCGCCGGGCACTAGCCACTAACTAAAATCACGACTGGGCATCATGTGGATGGCGGTGCCATCAAAATTCAATAACATAATCAGGGGCAGAGGCAGAGGCCCCAGCACCGGGACAGTAGTTGATGAAGGAGCTTATCAGCTGCTCTCTCAGCAGTCGCCAGCCACATCTCTCCGCTCTTAGCATCCACATTGGCATCCACTTCTTCGGGCAATTGACCAAAGAATCGGGGATCGCTTGGGTTTCCAGTCCTCAGTTGCCGTGGAGCAGCGCCAGTGTCAAGGTCTCTCGAGTTCAAGGAACGGCCAAAGACACGCGTCATCGCCAAGTCAGTCAGTGGTTGATAGTTAATTGTGCGTTTTGCGTTTTGTTTTGCCTGGCTTTGGTTCATTAAACAAAGATGTTGTGAGACGCGATTTTTGTGTGATTTATAATTGGGTTTCTTTGGCAGCTAAATGGCTTTTTCATGAACCCTAATGATGAGTGTTTGTGACGGTCCTGGCATAATTTATGAAGTGAATACCGATGAATGCAATAAGAGCATTTATTGGAGGAGTAAACAAACTAGAAAGTGCATTTCCCGAGGGTTTTAAGAGAAATATAAATTATGTAGAGGACTTTGACAAAAAATTGATTTGTTTCCAGACGAAAAGTGTTGGTTTTCGCAGAGCAGAGGCTGTTTCCCTATGGTTGTCAGACAAATACTTCAAAGTAAAGGAAGTCGCCCTGCAATTCTTATCAGCCAACAGGTTTGCCTGTAAGCTCCAGCATAATAAAGATTGACTTTCTTAACCTGACGACGTGCATAAATTAAAGCACAAACAAACGGCGGTCCTCACACTCACACGGGTGACAACAAAGAATGGCAAGCGGCAGCAAAAACAAACTCATTTGCACCACAAAATATTAAAAGAAAAAGCCAGCCAAGTGTGTGTGTGTGTGTGTTCGTTGGCCGCTCTGTTGTCTTCTGCTTCTTGCTATTTTAATGTGAAAGCGCTGTTAGCCCCGAACTACAGCCCCACCCCCACCCCCCGCCAAACACCTTTTGCCGCCAATCAGCTGTGAGCCGCCTCAAAAAGAGAGAGGTGGCCAAAAGAGAGAGAGGTTCATTTGAATAAGAAACAGAAACAGAAAAAGCGCCTAGCTTTTGGCCGTTCTCGGTGTTGGCCTTAATGGAAACCGTTATGCGCGTAGCGCAGTCGACGCCGACTGCACGCATGCGCACATGTTGGAGGCTTTGCCTTTGCCTTTGGCTTTAAGCCGGAGCGAGCGAGAGAGTTGGCTTACGCTTACTTACCAATTTCGCCTTACCAACTTCTTCAGCTCTGCCGGCGTGGCCAAATCTCAGCCGAAGCGGGCAGAGGCAGCGGCAGCGGCAGAGGCGACTCCACCTGGCTCACCTGGTTTGTGGATCTTTTGTGTGAGCTCCACTCCGCAGACGTGCGCAACTTGTCGCGCTCTTAACTTGGTCTTCTGCTCGTCTTCCGTCTTCCGCGACTCTGTGTGTGTGTCTGCGGGGCCCAAAACGAGTGTGGTGTGTGTGTGTGAAATAATTGGCCTGACCCAAAGTCCCGAGGCAAGTTCAAGTGCAAGAATACAAGCCGAAAGGAAACGAATCTCGGGAAACACAGATTTTCCCAGCCGGCTAACAGTGCTTTGTGTGATTTTTTTGCCATAAAACAAAGGGTAGAACTCCGGAAAAGGCCAGAGAGGAGCCAGTGTCAAACCAACAAGCGAAAAGTGAAGAAACTCATAAAACTAAGCCAGCCACGAAGTTGAGAGTTATAACAACACTCATATGGTAACAGCGAATTAAAAGAAATGACCCAAAATAGCTGGCCGCAGTGAACCGAACCTCCGACGTCAACTGGCAGCCAACGCAAGTAAATGCAAAAGATCCGAGACTAAGATACGCATCCGCCAGATACGCCGGCTTTTGTGTGTGTATGTGTATGGCCCAAAGTAGCTGTGCACTTTCTACCGCGTACAAGTCAATTAAGCGCCAGCCCACTGTGGCCACAGATACAGATGCAGCCACAGATTCAGATTGGGATTCCGATACAGATACAGATGCCGAGATACAGCAGCCGATAGATGCGCATAACTGCAACTAACTGCACCAGCAGAGGCAGTGAAACAAGAGCAGCAAGTTCAAGCGCCGCAAACACGGCCAAAGCTCAGAAACGAGTCCAAAGCAAAAGTCGCTCCTTCTGTGTTGAAATTTATTGAAATTCCTGTAAAATGCAAGCAAGCCAAGGCGGCTTGTTGGCAGCAGCAACAGCAGCAGCTTAGTACAAGTGTTTCAATTGCGCTGCGACTGCTTCTGCTTCTGCTTCTGCTTCGGCCGCTGAGAAGAGACCAGGCAGAACTTTGCCTTCTCCAGCTTCCAGCATCTCAGCCGCAGCCGCAGCCTCCGCTGCACCTTGGCAAACGATTTTTGCTTTTCGGTTTAAAGAACTGGTCTGATCGTGGTTATGCCAATGGCCGGGCGAGGGTATCACGGGTTGCATGGACTGGGAGTCCTACTGTGTGTCTTTTGGTCTTTTCAAATTATATACATTTCAAAAAGAATTCCATTGGGGCATTTATTTCCTCAAAGATAGGACTTCAGCTTTCAAGTTCTAAAACCCCACCTATTTCCCCTGATAGATCAGTAGCAATAGGTCGACTAAGCCCCAACCACACACGGCTCTTCCTTATTGTTGGAGGCCTGCCAGTCCGCCTGTCTTTGGTCTAAAACGCACTCGACAGCAGGGCGGGAATGGGGGAAGCGGAGGGGGCAGCACGTTTGTCTTGCGGCCACAGATGATCTGGCAGTAGGATGCCTGTTGCGTTATTTGCATTTCACGTTCTGGGGCCGCTCTGGTTTATACAGGTTTGCCTGCGCCGGGCACGTCTCCTGCCAGGCCGATGATGATGGGATGATAGGATGAGGCTGCGTAGAGTAGCATAAAATGGCTCGGCGTAATTATTGTAATTTGCATTCGGCATTTGCAATTGAGAAATTGCCGTTGATGGTTGCATTGAACCTGCAAATGCAGCTGCCGAAACAATTAGCCGGCCCTCAGCTCCGCGACAGGCGATGCGCACGCCTGCCCATCAAGTTTGTGCCCAGAGTCTTTCGTTTTCGGCTAATGAAACGGGGGACAGTTGGGCACAGGTAGCCCGGAGACACCGAACTGCTGAGCCATGGCTGCCCGCAGCTGAGTGGACACAATACGAAAAAAAGTAAAAAGTAAAACACACAAACAAAATTTCTCCGAGCTCCGTTTTTGGTAAGCAGAAATGAAAGCAGCGCCAAGCGAGACGCACTTCTTATTTGATTACACTAGAAACATAGTCGATGTGTATGTGTTTTCTTTTGACGAACTAGTTGTACCACGGCAAATGGCATAATTCTTTTGTTCAGCATTTGAAATTACAAGCCGCTGCTGGCATTTCACTTTTCTTTTAGGTAAATACTAAAAAAGCCACAAAGAAATTCGTTGGCTTTCGCTTTTACCCAGGGCAAACTCAGCAAAATGTATTTTTAATAACAAACAAAACAAATTGTAATTTCACTTTTAACGAGCAAATGAAATTGTCACTTGTATCGAGTAGCGAGTGGAAATTACTTAATTGCCCATAAAGCGAGGTGGAGCTGGAGGGACAGCCCCGGACAGCCCGACGCCGAACCGATGGAAATCATGCAAATCATCCGCTGCTTCTGACCCAGATCCGGCCACATCTCGCTCTTCCCAGGCGTATTCTGGTTATCGCTCTCAGAAATTCATGTTAATTTGCACACACCGCGAACGCCAACACAATTATACAGATACGCATACCGATATGGTCTGAACGTGACCCAAATACACAAATAGCTGGCCAACATTTTTGAGGCTGCGAAAAGCCAAACAATCGTGGAACTGGACTTGCGATCGAATGTGTAGTGCTAGACAATGGTGTTCGATTCGATGCGAATTGAATCCAGCACTTAATTGAGGCAACCCGCCTGCATATGTTTTATGGCTTCCGGTCTTGATTACGGACTCCCGATACGGATTTAGCATTCGGGCTTAATTAAAGCTATTTTCTGAGCTCTGAGTTCCAAGTTCCTCTCGGCCAGGTTCAACGACCGTATTACGCAACTCACAGAAGAGTCGCTAACAATAAGAGTTACTCTTTTGCCCCTTTTCCCGCGAACGCAGCTAATTTCTCAACGCTGCAGAATCGTGACTGAAAGAAAGACCCAGCGAAACCAAGCCAAACAGAACCGAACAGAACGCTCGATCAATGAATGTGCTGTCACCGCAAGATGCCTCCGGGCATGGGCACAAGTATGCGAGACATAGACTCATATAGACGCGCCTTGTCATCGGATCCCGGAGCAGGTCCAGTTAACTCCAGCCAACTCATCATCATCATTTGTTGTCGCCAGTTATTGGTTCGCTTTCTTTGATTGCTCCGGTTTATGTCATCGTTTCTGTACATTTCCCAGCGCTGAACTTTCTTTGCCAGATCGAACTCCGGCTCAATTAGGCGTGTGTTGAACCCCGACTTGAGCTGGGATGAGAACCAGCTGGCAACTGGCAACTGGGCCCTGGGAATGGGAATGGGAACCTGGGGTTAAGTGCATTTCCGCACGGTTATATAAACGGTGGACAGATTATACAATCACTTAAACGATTCCCGTTTGGATCGCTTTCTATGCACACACACTTTTGCTTTCCATTTGGGGCATTTTAGGCATGACTAAACCAGCAGTCCGGCATATTACACATACGCCCCGTCTGCCCTAGCAAATTTAGCTCTGCTCGGTTTCTGTTTCTGTGTTTTGTTTCATTTTTCCCCGTTTTTGCATATGCAAGTCACCGGAGACAGACTTTCACCTACTTGAGTCAGCGGCAGCGTGTTGCTTCTACGCACTTGCTGCTTCCTCTGATTCGCCCGCTTCTTTTCCCTTGTGGTTGTTGGGCCGTGCCCATTGGTTTGGTGTATAAAAATATAGATTCGTTTAGTTATCAATTTGAATAGGGCCGTAAAAACGTTTCACATTTCCCATGACTCATCTGAAGACTTATAGTTTTGTATACTCTTTTTGCAGATGGGTGCACAACACACGGATACAGACACCTATACGTACACAGCAGCAAGGGCGGTAGAAGCCTCAGATCTGACCCCCAAAAAAAGTAGTTCATCAGCGATAACCCCGGCCAAGATGCCACGCCCCAGCCTCGTCTTCAGCCTCCTCACACTGGGCAGCCTGCTGCTGCTGACGATAGACGCCAGTCCCGTCTTTGTGGATAATCCCAGCTTAGCACAGTGTAAGTACCCGAGTGCCCGAATCTCACTTCTCACTTCCCTTATTGAATCATCGGCCAAATCAAGTTTATGGGTGTCAGCTAATTGACGCTCTCGCTTAGCTGGAATTACTCAGCGGGAAGATATTCGGCTGCAGATGCAGATACCGATCCCAGCAGGCCCTTTCTTCTACATTGCTTCCCAAGAACTCCAGCACTTTCTCTCACGTAGACAATTAAAAGTTTTTTTCGGGAAGGCACAGCCAGGGGGAGCATCCACTGTGATTACAATGGAATTAAAATCATATCCCAAGTAGCCCCACCTTCAACCAGAAGCTACAAGAAACTTGAGAAAATATAATAAGCACGTTTGAAATGGAGTAATAACTATGAGAAGTGAAGATAAATTGTTTTAATAATAATACAAAAACGTGATTCATTTTTAGAAACCAAAGCATAGATATACTTTGTCTGAATCTTTATTGAATGCATGAATAAGTACACAATATTTTTTAACAGTAGAAAAGATCGGTCAAAAATACTCACAAATAAAATTTATCTAAAGAAAATGTATATATTAAAAACATTTAAGTTCCAATAAATAGAAAAGTTAAGTAATGGAATAAACCTATACCTAATTCTTCTAATCCCTTGCAGACATTTTTTAATATTCTGAATAGTTTCTGGATCTTTAACTTCATGCTTAGGAAAATATGGTTAAAGTCTGGTTCATGGTTGGTTGGAGATGGTTGATGATCTCGCGATGACAGCAGCTGGTAGCAATAAACTTTATTGCCAAAAAGACCAGAAATGGGCAGCAGAAAACAAAAGACTTAAGCGACGAACTCGTTCGCAGTGAGACCAAATTGAGAACAGAAACAGAAACAGCGACAGAGCCAGAGCATTTCTAATGAAAGTAATCAAAATTAATGACAATAGAGACAGGCGTTGCCGGGAACGAAGATTAATTGGGTCATAGCCATTAAGAATCAAACTTATACGCTATTAGCACTTCCTCTGCGGCCCCACACAGCTGCCAATTTGTCTGCGAGAAAGACAACAAAGCGCAGCCTTTGAGCGGCCAGCGGAAAGATGAAAATAAAACTACGAAACTTTCATATAAACCGAGGCTGGCCTGGCCAAAGAGCCAAACTGGCAAACGTCAGCGAGCAAAAGCAATTGAGGTCAGCCATCAAAGAATGTTGCCATAAAATAAGCAACCACCGCCGCCAGTCGGGCCATTCCGCAGTCCGCAGTCCCCCTTGGACACTTGGACACTCGGACGCGGACCGGGAATCAGATTCGGAATCGGAATCATACTCGGTCTCGCACTCTTGACAAGAAAGCGTGTGCCGGCGAGCATTTCATGTTTACGACTGGACCGCAGCGGCAACAAAGAAAATATAAATAATATGGATACACACAGGCAGACAGACAGATACACCCGGGGACGGGAAGAGGCGGCTGCAGAAAGCGGAAAGTAAATTTGATGGCAAGTGAAAGGGAAACAAGGCAACGAGCCCGGGGATCGAACCGGACCCTCGGTTCTGGCCTGACGCTGACCCACTTAAGCCGCTGCGCCACTCACCCACAATCGGGCCACGAAAATGTGGTGCCGCATTCGCATGCCAAAAACGAATTTCCTACATTGCAATGCGGGTCTGTTTCCCTCTATCCGCCCCTCACTTCGCCGCCTTCGATTCTGGCTGTTTGGTAGGCCAGGCGAGCGGCTAGCGAAACATATGCTAAGCTGTTGACCCAAAAAGCCACAAAACGAAGTGCAAACAGAACCGCTGCCGGTTCTTGGCCACGATCTATTGAACGTGACAATGTCTCGGGCTGAATCCACTTTTCGTTGGATTGATTTTCGTTTTCGGCTCTGCTGCCCGCAAGTTCGTGCCTTGAGTCATCTGTTTTTGCGCCGCCTTCGAGGCATGGAAACTCATATGCCTCGGGGAGCTCTGGCGAGAATGTCGTGTTAATTGCATAAGAAATGCGCGACACTTTAACGGCTAAAGTTCAATAAACGCAAAACACCAAAAAGGCAGTGGGCAATATTTATTTGAATACCCTCTAGAAAGGTGGCAGTATTAAATTTTGGGGTTGCGTTAAATTCCCCAACATGAATTTCCGAAGCCTTTTTAAAATTTAAAATTTAAATTAATTCCTTGAGTAGAGATTTTTGCAAGGCATTCAAAATCATTTTTGCGGAATGCCATACAATTGTCTGTAGTATGTTGCCCAACATATATATTTATAATTTACGTGCAATATTTTATAATATGTCCAAGAGTAAACGGCAGTTTATAAAAACCAAGGTAAAATTAATATCCAAAACTCGCACCTCCATAATGCTTTCCAAAGAGGTATTTAAAAAATCGCTTTAGTCAAGCGGACCCGATTTGTTTTCTTTACGTTTAGCAGCAGAAGTCAAGCAAAGTGGCTTATTTATGTGCGAGTATTTTCAGCGTTAAGCCTGAAATGCCTCTGCTCTCTTGTTAAGTAAATTTATGGCCAAAAGGGGGAATCAGGACCGCCGACTGGGCTTTCTTCGGACACACTTACTGCTCCAAGTGCTTTTGTCCCTGGCCGCGATTTGTCAGAGCCCCGAAACACAAATAACTCTTGGCCCCGTGCTGCTGCCTGTAATTATACAAGTTCAAAGCTCGAGCTCTTGGATAATTCTCGGCTCGATTACACAATGACGATGATGACGATGCTGGCGGTTCTTGGAGAAGCGGCAGCCGCAGAAAAGCAGAAATCATAAATAAATAACAATAATGCGGATGGGCTACTGTTGCCTCATCGGGCGGTCTTATGTGTATGTTTTGGCCTGGTGATGATGACGCCCTTCAGCGATCTGGCGGCTTTTATGGGTTCTCCTCGTGCTGGGCTTTGGGCTCATGTTCGTGTTCGTCTTCGTCTTCGTTTGTTGCCACTTCATTTTCAATTGTGTTAACTGTTTGCCTAACGGTAAAGGCCTGGCTCAAATTGGCGTACAAATTCGAAGGCGTTAATCGCCGCAGCAAACGGAAATGGTGTGGAGCAGTCGATTCGAGTCGGTGGAACCAGAATAGGAATCTTATTTGCTTTGCCCCTTACCACCATCATCATCATCATCACTATTATCGTTATTTTGTGTTACCATTATACTGATTGTTCTGGTAATTATCTTGCTATTAATAGTCCAATCTGGTCGAAATATCCGTCACCTGCCCTGCATCGTTCGCAAGTCGGGACGCTCTGGAGTCTGCATGTTTGCCATCGATTGCATCAAGCAGAATGGCACGCACCTGGGCACCTGCATCGATCGTTTCTACTTTGGCTCGTGCTGTGCGATGAAGGTGAGTAAACAGTGAACCCCCCGAGGTAACCACAGATCCTTTTCATTTGATTTTATATGTGTCAACCAGGAGGAAGGCTCGCTCTTCGCGCCGGAGATCAACGACAACAGCATCGACCAGAACACCATTTCCCACTTTGCCCACGAGTCCACCACTTTGCCCACCAGCGCTCTCTTTAAGCTTACCACCGAAAGCAGCTTCTCCAGCAGCAGCAGTGGTGGCAGCACCACCCACCAGCACACCACCAACGAGCTGCTCAAGAACGTCACCCAGTCGTACCTGAGCACCGCCAAGCCGGCACCTGTCCGCACCACCAGCAACCACTCGCTATCAACCACACGCCGCCCACCGTTGGCCCACACCACCCACAAGAACTCGCACTTTGTGGTGCGCACCACTCTGAAACCCAACGTGGTGCCCACGACGACGACGGGGACGCCAACCATTAAGCCACCACGCCGCCGCACCACCACCGCCAGACCGGTGCTAACCACCGCTCCGGTTGTGGAGCAGCGCATTGAAACCACCTCGGTGCCCACCAAATTTGTGACTTTCCAAATTGTGGAGACCACGACGCCGCCGGTGACTGAACCCACCCACCTGCAGGAGACTACAACAACCACAACCAGGCGGCACACAAGACCGACAGGGAGCAGCTCGGTAGCCAGCAGGACAACCAGCAAAACAACAACCACTAGCACGACTACAACAACAACAACAGCAGCTCCACCCACAACAACGAGCACAAAGGCAGCCGCAGGCACCCAGCGTCCAACACCGCCGCTGCGCACCACCACTGCAAAGCCGCATAAAACACATTCCAGCCGAAGGCCAGCGCCAGCAAAAAAGCCAGTCGGTTCGACAACAACCACCGCCAGTGGAACGCAATCCACACGAAAGCCGGCCGACAGTCTGGCCAGTAGCAGCACCACTGCGAATGGCACCACAGCCACCACAGCCACCACTTTACCAGCTCGCAGGCCAGTCGTTCAGACGAGCAGCAGCAGTAGTAGTAGTAGCAGTAGCTCCAGCTCAACATCAACAACCACCGTGTTTAGAGATGAAGTGACCAAGAACCGTACCACAACAAGGCAGCCGGAACGCACCACTCAAGCTCCGCGACCCAAACCAAAACCAACCGGGGAAATTGTGAAGGTTCCCGCTCTGCTGGCTGAGCCAACAACAACCACTGTAGAAACAGATTCATCCAGCAGCAGCAGCCCGTCGAAGACGCCAGCAACTAGCACCACTCCTTTGGTAACCAAAAAGAGGCCAACCACCACCACTACAGCGCCGACAACAACAACCACTACAACAACAACACCAAAACCGACTCGAAAATCCACAACAACAAAAGTTCCAGCAACAACCACTTCTAAGGCTACTACAACAAGCACCACAAAAGCAACAACAACAACCACCACCACAACTACAACTACAGCAAGACCCGTGCTCACCACCGAGGCAACAACCAGTGCACCCTTAACGACAACCACCAAAAAGACCGGCCTGATTACCTGGACAGATGTGGAGGCTGAGCCACCGACCAACGCCAGCATTTCAAATGATTGGCAACCAGCACCACCTTCAAATTGGGTACCCCTAGCCACCGAAACACCTGAAGCGACGAACAAAACATCGGCTACCACAGGTGAGTCTTGAACCACTAAAGCTAAATAGCTTAAACAAATAATATTTCTAACCGAAGATTGCTCTATGCTTGACTTAAAGTTAGATTACAATTAAGTTTTAAAAACAAGTAATTTTTGGTTTTAGACATTTTTAAGTTTAAATAAACCCTTTTAAAGTGTATTTTGCCAGTGCACCCAATGGCTTTGCTAATGCTGCTCTATATCCTTTCACAGCTCCACCCAGTGCCACCGACAAAGTGGTCATCTCGGTGGCCACCAGCGTCAGTGAGGTGGAGACCCACGGCCCGGGTAAGCCGCAGAAGACCACAAAGCCACCTAAACCCACCAGCACAGCAAGGCCCACAACAACAACAACACCCTCTACGACCACTGCAGCACCGACAACCACAGTGAAAACCACAGAGGCACCAGCGAGCAGCATAGAATTAGCATCATCTACATCATCTTACACTGATCTTAGCAGTGAGGTGGCTTCTAGCAGTATCGCTAGCACCACCAGCAGCCCAACAACCACAGCTGAAACCACCGATTATAGCGGCGAAGAACCGAACACAACGACCATCGAGGCTACAGGCACCACCACCGTGGCACCCGCCAATGCATTGGAGGGCGTCGATTACAAGGAAGGTGAGTGTCGAGAAAACCCGTTTCCTGCAGGGAGAAATCTATTAATACCTCGTGGCTGACTTTGGCCATAAGACAAAGCCAACGTGCGTGGCCATTAAATTCAATTTGAAGGCTAAACGCTGGCCTTGAAGGCCAAGAACCAGAGACATCTTCCGAGATCCTGTCCTGGGCCAGCTCATAAATGATTACACAGAGAGAAAGCACAACCAAATCAGTTGTATTTATGCAGGGGGTCTCTTTCATATCTGGAATCACATCGAATGTCTAAGTCTAAGTCAAAGCTTTGAAACTTAACATTAACCTTGTGAACTACAATCCTTGATTTAAACTACATTGTTTAAATGTTAAAACTATAAGCGACTATATAATATGTTTAAATTATTTAAAAGTGCTTCGATCCAAAAGTGTTTTTGGATGAAAAGGCTGGGCTTCAATCATGAAATTGTACTTAAATTCTAACATAAATTTATTTACCCTTCCTTCAACATTACCTTAAAGTTTGATGAGCTGCCCAACATTTTTCTCCGTGCAAGAACACTCCTAAGCAGGACTCTTGCTAGACGCAGTCCACAACAATTTTTACAGCAATCATTTACAATAATGACTGCATCGTGTATGGGATCGCGTCGGTCATTGTGCCGCATGGGTCACGTTGTCGGTCGTCTGCCAAAGACAACCAAAAACGAGCCAATCCCGCGCTTCTCTTCCCTGCAGCCCGTTGACCGATTTGCGGCGGCAAAAGCAATCTTGATGCACGAATCGAAACGAGTCGCGCTGCGGTGCAGATCGCCTCGGTTCGGTTTGGTTCGGGCCAAGACAAGTTGCTGGCCATAAAGTAGGCCGCTGACTGCCTGCCTTGCGGCTGGCCAAAGCAAGGACTGGGCTGCTGATGCGCCTCCTTGGCCAAAGCACATTACATTTGCGGCCGAAATGACTGAGTGCCAGGCGGAGTGATTAAAATGTTTAAGGCCCTGGCGGGCCCATTACTTTAATTGTGACCTAAAGCAGGCCTATTAACCAAGATCCCACTCTGAATCTGCTCTCCCTGCTTCAGTCTGCGGTCGCCGCATGTTCCCCGAGCCCCGTATTGTTGGAGGAGCTAATGCCGCCTTTGGTCGCTGGCCCTGGCAGATCTCCCTGCGCCAGTGGCGCACCTCAACCTACCTGCACAAGTGCGGAGCTGCCCTGCTGAACGAGAACTGGGCGATCACGGCGGCCCATTGCGTGGACAAGTGAGTAACCGATGGCCGTTCCCCATTCCAAAACCATTGCTCACGAGTGTCACTTCTCAGTGTGCCACCCTCTGATCTCCTGCTGCGCCTGGGCGAGTACGATCTGGCGGAGGAGGAGGAGCCCTACGGCTACCAGGAGCGACGTGTGCAGATCGTCGCCTCGCATCCGCAGTTTGATCCGCGCACCTTCGAGTACGATCTGGCCCTGCTCAGGTTAGTTATGCCCCATATGCCCGCGCAGGAGGCACTATTAATTACAACTTCCGGTTCCCGGTTCCCAGGTGCTACGAGCCCGTCGTCTTCCAGCCGAACATCATTCCCGTTTGCGTGCCCGACAACGATGAGAACTTTATTGGCCAGACTGCCTTCGTCACCGGCTGGGGCCGCCTGTATGAGGACGGACCCCTGCCCAGCGTTCTGCAGGAGGTGGCCGTGCCCGTGATTAACAACACCATCTGTGAGTCCATGTACCGCTCCGCGGGCTACATCGAGCACATACCGCACATATTTATCTGCGCCGGTTGGAAGAAGGGCGGCTACGACTCCTGCGAAGGTGAGTAATGGCCAGTGATTGGAGGCACTTCTGTGAACCCGTCTATCTTTCTTCGCAGGTGATTCCGGTGGCCCCATGGTGCTGCAAAGGGAGGCGGACAAGCGATTCCAGCTTGGAGGCGTCATCTCGTGGGGCATCGGCTGTGCGGAGGCCAACCAGCCGGGCGTGTATACGCGCATCTCGGAGTTCCGGGACTGGATCAACCAGATTCTGCAGTTCTAGATTCTAGATCCCGCCGCGGCCAGATCCTTAGTGAATGCCTAGCCCGTCTTCCCCTTGAACGGCATCGGAATCCAACTGAAACTCGGACTCGTGCTCCGGTTATGGAGAGATCACAGGATCAGATTGGCCATAACCCGAGCAACGATTCCAGTTGCCACCATTTACCTCCACCTGCCCGCACAGCAACCACTGAACCAGAAACTGAAACTCCCATTGTCATAATCGTAATCTAACACTTAGCGTTGCCTAGCCCTAGCCCTAAAACTAGTTAGTGAATGTGATTAACCATAGATCACTGTTGCAGTCACGGCTCTTGTAACGTATTAATCGATTGGACTCCTAATTTATTCCCATTTGCTGTACATAATTTTCTAAATTATTGCATAACATTTACACTTAGCTTTAGTCCTATACAATATTAAATTAGGGGACTCAACGTCTGTTGGGTCCTTCGGTAGGGCATCATTATCACGTAAGTCGCTTCTTCCGGAATCGAACCATGCGGCAGAAGCTATTGTAATTTTATTTTATAACTTACTGTAATTATTTATTTATAGCAGCATATGCACTACAAAATTAATTCAATTAAAACGTTTAAAACCAACCCATTTCGTAGGTGCCTTTTTTCACAGCTCGATCATCTAAGCAAATACCTGAGAATTAAATCGCATTGTTAGCCTCCACAAATGAATATCGATAAGCGTAAGCCAGTCGTCCCTCGAAGAATGTCGAAACGAATTTTAAGGACCGAATCTTATTTATAATATTTTTATCCGTTAGTCGTAGAGTAAAAGGGTATATTGTAGAGGTGAAGAAAACATCGACGTTTCCTCGATAAACGATGTTTTTTTGACTTAAAAATTAATTTCTGACTGAGCTGAACTGGTAAAAGTTATTTAAAAAACAACAGAACGCTATAGTCGGGTGCCCCGACTATCAGATACCCGTTACTTATCTAAAGGGAGTGCGAAGGAGATGGGGATAAAACTTTTGATCCGCCGTAACTTTTTAACGAATGATCCGATTTAAAAAATTCTTCTACATTTTGATAGGTATTGATAAACACAATAAAACTGCATTTTTACTTTTCCGAAATATTGAAATTTTTAAAATCGTATATAAGCGAGACAGACAGACAGACAGACAGACAGACGGACATGGCTAGATCGACTCGGCTAGTGATCCTGATCAAGAATATATATACTTTATAGGGTCGGAAATGCTTCCTTCTAGCTGTTACATACTTTTGCACGAATACAATATACCCTTTTACTCTACGAGTATCGGGTATAACAAGAGAGATCGCTATAGTCGGGTTTGTGTCCCGACTATCTAATACCCGTCACTCAGCTATAGGGAGTGCGATCGCTGTACTCGGGTTGGTGCCCCTATTATATAATAAGCGTAACTCTGCTAAAGGGAGTGCGAGGGAGATAGATATATAAACAATTTTAATTGCGTATAACTTTTTAATGAATGGTCCTTTTCTCGGAAATCTTTAAGGATATGGGCGCAGGACACATTTTAAAATCGTTAGTGGGCGATTGTAAGCGTTAGAGGGGGCATGACACTCGGCTGAAATAAACTTGCGCTGCGTAGGAGGCCCAAGAATATGTGTGGAAAATCGTAACCTTCTAGCTTTAGCGTTCATACAGACGGACAGACGGACAAGGCTACATCGACTCGGCTAGTGACCCTGATCAAGAGTACATATACTTTATGGGGTCGGAAACGCTTCCTTCTAGCTATTGCATACTTTTGCACGAATACAATATGGGCACTTTCGCTCGGGACATGTCGCTCGGGACATTTTTTCCGACTGTTTTGTAAAGCGGATTTCTTTACCTCTATCTCTCAATTGCTGGATGTTTTGCTTTTAACTTAATAGTTTAGCATGTGAATGAAGCATTCAGTACAGAAAAATGTCACATATTAGCATTCCTATAGGATAAATTAACAACAGAAGACAGGTCCAAAAAATAACAAAAAAATAGCCAAAAACCAACTTTTGTGTATATTATTGTGGTTTGTCATAAAAATAATCAATTTATACTCCAAATGTTTAGTTTAGCTCAGGATCCAACTAATTAGAAACTAATATAGCGGCAAAATCATGTGGAAATATGTTTTTTTCAAGTTTCAATTTTTTAAGTTTCCACCTTTTGGTGGAAGTGCCCATATCACTATGGACGGCAGTCCATGTAGTGACGAAGCGCACCAGGAGAGTGTGCGAAGGCGACTACTATATATACACGAAGAAATGAAAATCTACTGTGATGGTCCGATCATAATGAATAATACACATATCGAAAGGTATTGCAAAAACTAACAGGATTGCATATCAAGACTCTAAGAAAATCAATTGGCTTGGGAGAGAGAGCGGTGAAAGTGAAAAAGTGAATATTTCGAAATTTGGAGCTGTTGGGGCCGGTGGGGATAAATGCCCCCTCGCAATGTTTTAGTTGTATTCCTTTTGAAAATACCCGTCGAATGAGGGGTCATATGATAAAATCCGACGCTCCGTTTAAAAGTTATAGCCAAAATAAGATTTTCTTCTTCTTCCCAAAATAATTCTGTTTGTCAGTTTGTCCAAAATATGTGTTTTAAGTTCTGAAAATTTAATATGACGTTCATCACATCGATATAAAAAACTTTTGTTCTACAACTTTTGGAAAAACCCGCTAGTTTAGCGGGAAAACAGCTATAAATAGCTAAAATTCGGAAAGCCGTAACTTCTATACTACTAAAGCTACAGACTTGTGCTGCATCTCGATTGAAAGGTATTTTTAAATGCTATAAACGCGTTCTATATGCAATTTGTGTATATGTAATAGTTAAAAAGATATGAACAAAAGAAAATTTGTTTAAACTTTTATTTTAAGCTTTTTTTTAATTTTCTCAAAAACGGCTCTAACGATTCCCCTTACAACTTTAAACTGTATAGCCCTTGAGATTCCTTAAATGTTGGTATATATCATGTTTATGTAAAAAATCGCATTTAAAAGTTATTCAGAACCGAAAATAGCCACTTTTGCTAGCTCAGAACAACTAACGATTCCTGAGTGTTTAATTTTGTGCGTGGGTATCCAAACTGTATTTGTATATAATGAGAAAATATTAGAAAGTGTATTTAATGACGAGTGTAGTAATTTTTCGTCACAAATGTTGATATCAAAACTTTTGTATGTTGAAGGTGCGATCGTCATTAGTTTTTTACCTCGTTAAGAGGTGTGTTTATTTGATACCCTTTTACTCTAAGGGTGACGCGTATAAAAATGTTGTTTTCACTTATAAAATATTTTGTTTAATAAACAAGTTAATAAAAACTAATGTTGCTATTCTCGTCACATTTTTAAACCCTTGCAGAGGGTATTATGATTTCAGTCAGAAGTTCGCAACGCAGTGAAGGAGACGTTTTTGAGAAAAATAAAAATAAGCTAAAAAAAAAGTTTTTAAAAATTGTCTTTTGTTCATATCTTTTTAATTATTACATTTACACAAATTGCATTTAGAAGGCGTTTATAGCATTTAAAAATACCTTTCAAACAAGATGCAGCACAAGTCTGTAGCTTTAGTAGTATAGAAGTTACGGTTTTCCGAATTTTAGCTATTTATAGCTGTTTTCCCGCTAAACTAGCGAGTTTTTCCAAAAGTGGTAGTGTGCGTGGGTATCCAAACTGTATTTGTATATAATGAGAAAATATTTGAAAGTGTATTTAATGACGAGTGTAGTAATTTTTCGTCACAAATGTTGATATCAAAACTTTTGTATGTTGAAGGTGCGATCGTCATTAGTTTTTTACCTCGTTAAGAGGTGTGTTTATTTGATACCCTTTTACTCTAAGGGTGACGCGTATAAAAATGTTGTTTTCACTTATAAAATATTTTGTTTAATAAACAAGTTAATAAAAACTAATGTTGCTATTCTCGTCACATTTTTAAACCCTTGCAGAGGGTATTATGATTTCAGTCAGAAGTTCGCAACGCAGTGAAGGAGACGTTTCCGACCCCATAAAGTATATATATTCTTGATCAGCATCACAAGACGAGTCGATCTAGCCGTGTCCGTCTGTTTCTACGCATTCTCTATAGAGAATTCAATTGTTTTTAAAGTTGCATTGCAAAGAAATAAAAACAAGAAAGGAAGCTAGCTTCGGCCAGCCGAAGCTTATATACCCTTGCAGATAGAGTAAATACCTATAGTTTAATGCTTACTCCGTGCAGTTCCAGGGATTCCAGATTTAGCGTGCCTATTTATTAAATTTTGTCTTTAAGTTGTCAAAATTCATAACGCCTACTTCCTACAAAGTTACAATGAATTTTCTTATATTTGATGGAATAATCCTATGGGAGCCTTAAGATATAGTGGTCCGATCCGGCTCGCTCCGACATATGTACTACCTGCAATAGAAAGAAGACTTTCGGGAAAGTTTCATCGCGATAGCTTTAAAACTGAGAGACTAGTTCCCATAGAAACGGACAGACGGACAGACGGACATGGCTAGATAGACTCGGCTATTGGTCCTGATCAAGAATATATATACTTTATGTGGTCGGAAACGTCTCCTTCACTGCGTTGAAAACATCTGACTGATATTATAATCAAATAAAAACACCTCTTAACGAGGTAAAAAACTAGTGACGATCGCACCTTCAACATACAAAAGTTCTGATATCAACATTTGTGACGAAAAATTTTCAAAACTTAAGAAACATGTTTTGGACAAACTGACAAACTGACAAACTGACAAACTGACAAACAGAATTAAATTTTCAATTTGGGAAGAAGAAGGAAATCTTATTTTGGCTATAACTTTTGAACGGAGCGTCGGATTTTGACAAATGACCCCTCATTCGACGGGTATTTTCAAAAGGAATACAACTAAAACATTGCGAGGGGGCATTTATCCCCACCGGCCCCAACAGCTCCAAATTTCGAAATTTTCACTTTTTCACTTTCACCGCTCTCTCTCCCAAGCCAATTGATTTTCTTAAAGTCTTGGTATGCAATCCTTTAAGTTTTTGCAATACCTTTCGATTGGTGTATTACTCATTACGATCGGACTATCACAGCAGATTTTCAATTTTGCGGCTATATAATAGTAGTCGCCTTCGCACACTCTCCTGGTGCGCTTCGTCACTACATGGACTGCCGTCCATAGTGATACCCTCTGCAAGGGTATAAAAACGGTTTTATTAGTATAATAAATCAAAAAAAAAATATGAAATCGCTTTAAACCGAAATTAAAGAATACAATAAACAATAGATTCAATGAATATTTAAAATTAGTTCCATTTAAGATTTAATTCTCAGAATTGTTTTTTTATCACAGAAATTGTGAAAATTTTGGGAGTTTTAACTTTGGCGTCGAATTCCAAAGACATGGACAATGGTTCACGATGGCGATTATTTTTTAGTAGTGCCGTGCTGTATTGAGAGTAGGTCCTACCGAAAATAAGGAGCACCCAAATATCATGGAAAACTTGAAATGGTTCGTGGAAATTTCACAAAGTTTAATTTTGTGTTCCTTTGTATATAGCTTTTCTTTGACATTTCAAAATTTCAAACTAAATTTAAGAAAGAGT